TCTGTTTAGCTCCACCTCCTCGTGAACTCATGTTTTCCTCTTTAAAAAATCATAGCCATCCTAGAGGTACAGATATGAATTCTTAAAACATCCTTTCTGAGTTCAAATTTATCTGGGCACAGTTCTAAAAAGAATAAAATACCCTTCTGCAGAGGAATGACGTCCCCACCCTGCATTGTCACCTCAAAGCCTCCAGAAACGGACCCTCACACCAACTTCTAGGTGAAGAGCTTCTCCACCTGCCTCTGACGCGGGGCCGGCTTCCCTGTGGGCACCTGAGGCTTTACTCGTACCCGGCTCAGGCCGTGCCACTGCTCGGTCGGGGGATGCCAATAGTGTGGACACTTTGTTGCTTGTTTGGGCCATTTGGAAACAGTGATGTGAAACTTGAGGGGGCTGTGTGGACACCGCAGTGTGAAGCCAGGTCGGTGGCTGTGGGGCCATGTGGGGAGGGTGATTTTGCAATGATTTACTTCTCATTTCTTAGGAATTGCCGGTGGGTGAAAGAAGCCGTAGTGCAGGAAGTGGGGGGGGGGTCGGCCAGGAGGAGGTGAGGCAGCAGACTCTGTGCTTCCACGGACGGTCCCAAAGGTCCAGAACAGAGGTTCTCGCCGGCGTCACTGTCCCTGAGATGCGCGACTCAGTGCTGCTCTGGAGGGTTCCTGGGTGAGGGTCATCGAGAGACAGGCTCTTAGGGACACTGGTGGGAGGTGACACAGGGAAAGTGAGATTTTAGGGGAGTCAGGACGAGGCCTGGGAGGGAAAGAGGCTAAGCAGGGTGACCGTCACGCCCTCAGATGGCATCTCTAGTTGTCTTCAGGGAGGTGCTGGAGTCGGGGCGGTCACAGCACAGGGGCAGGGAGCTGGGGTGTTGACACTCCCACAGCGATGGCCGTTGATCAAGGGCCCGTGGCTTTCTGGATTCTCCCAGGCAGTCGCCCAGCGAGGACACAGTCGCCCGGCAAGGCCAGCTGTGGGAAGGGACAGTCTGCAGTGTGCAGCAATGGTGGGCTGCAGGGGAGCCCGTGGCATCTGATATGGGGACGAGATGGGGGGACGCAGTCATATGACCTCGTCTTTATCCTGCATGTGGCGGCAGCTTCAGACCAAGTGCTTTAAGGTCCTGTTAGGCATGATCACCTGCCCACTGCCCTTCTTCTATTTAACCAAACAGTAACCTGCTCTGGGAAGGGAAGGACACTTACAAAGTCTGCCGTCCCTGCACTGCTTCCTGCTCATCAATT